AGAGAAAGAAAGAGAGAAAGAAAGAAAACAGGGGAGACAAAAGTTTCCAGGTAATGATTAGGCTGTAAGCAGGTACAGAGAGCAGAAATCTGAAGATACCTACTAAAAATGCACCCCCTTACCAATAATAGAAAAAAATATATATATAAATAAAATGATCTACCAAGCTGAAGCCCTAGCATAGGTCATTCCATACTCTTTCAGACTGCACAGTGTTAACAAGACTGGAAACCAAAGACAGCACACTCCCGCACACTGCTGTCCACAACATGCCTCCCTGATCTACCGGAGGGGCTTCATTTTGGGAGTTCTATGGAAGAGGAAGGTCCCACAGATTCGAACAAGGTGTGCACAGAGTCAAATCCACCAATCACCGTCTAAGAAGCCACAGGGAAACTTTAGAAATGAAATTCTAAATTTCCTTCAAGAGATTTATTTAATTACTAGTCCCAAAAGTGGGAGTAGGTAGGATGAAACTATAAGGACTTTTTTTTTTTTCATGTATTTGGTATAGGGTCTTACTACGCAGCGTGGACTCATAGAGATCCTCCTGTTTTCAGACTCCCCAGTGCTGAGATTATGGGCGTGGGCCAGCACACCCAGTGTCTGTTATCAGCTTAGTGTGCCCAGCAGGTGGTGCAGGAAATCCAACCTTGGCCTCTGTGCTTGCCTAAGCAGGTGCTTAATCCACTGAGCTACCTTCCTGGCCCTAAGTTTTTTGTTTTTTTTTTATGATCAGTGCATATTATGGCTATGTAACATTATGGTTAGTAAATGCAACAAAATCTTAATTAATTTGAAATATCTTTAATGATTCAACATTATCTAAAATTTTTTCTACATCTCTTAATTTAGAATTCTATTTTCTTATACATTTAATTTAATCTTTTTAGAGTTTCTTTTTTATTACTATCAGATACAAGAGTGGAGACACTGCTGTGATTAGTTGTGATCTAGTTAATAAATTTAAAGAAAGGTTTAAATTTTCCAACAGATCAAGACTACGGCTCTGGATCTTGATATGCTTTTTTGAGCTAAGGTGTGAAAAGTACAGTGATCCGTAGATTCTCTTACCTGAGCCAAATGCATTATTGCTATAGAGCCACTCAGGACCTTGCACTTGCCAGACAGATACTTAGGCCTGCTGAGCTATCTCATGGCCCCCTCTGCGATTCCTTAAAATTCCATGATGTCCTGAAGTGTTACTCATGTGAATGCTATACAATATATGAGTTAAAGTGGGCACAGGGTAAGGACACTGATTCTGGTGTATTAATCTTTGGACTTTGCAGAAAAGCTCATCTGAGGCACACACAGTACTACAAATGTTGGCCAGGACAGTGCTGCCCCTCTGAGGGTAGCAAAGGGACATCCTCTGCCTGGGCAGCTGTTTGCTGTTGGAGGCCTTAACCGGTGGAAGGCAGCACGGTGCAGAACTGCCTCACTTTCTCAGGTCTCCATACTGGCTGCATTCTGACTCAGCACAATCTGTTCAGGATGGACAGCCAAAGAGCGATGAGTATAGCCAGTGATCACGGTGCTGACAGCCTGCCTGGTTCCAGAAGACACCCCTGAGCTCACAGCAACTGCCCTGATGGCACAGCAGGAAGGGCCTGAAAATCAGCTCTCTGCCTGGATAGAGGAGCTTCTGAGGGCTCCTATGTGCTCAAATCACACAAAAGACTCTTACAAACTGACACAAAGACAAGCCACACAGAAAAAAA